GAGAAGGAGGAGGAGGAGGCGGAGGACGAGGAGGAGGGGGTCGAGGACTCGTGGATCGTCAGGCGTCTGCGGCCCGCGTTGGCAGAACGCTGCCCGTCTCCTCCCTGCTTGCGTCGGCAGCGAGTCGGGCAGCGCCCGCCCCACGCCTCTGCGCCGCTCGCCCCCCTCGCCTCCCCCCCCGTGCCCTCCTCCCGTCTCGCCGGCATCCACGACGAGGACCTCCTCATCACCATCCCCTTTCCTCCTGCTCCTTCCTCTCCTCCCCTTCTCTTTCTGCTCCTTCCTCTCCTCCCCTCCTCCACCTCCTCCTCCTCCTCCTCCTCCTCCTCCTCCTCCTCCTGCGCCTCTCGCCCTCTCGTCCTCCTCCTCTCTTCTCGTCGACGTCCACCTGCAGGAGCTCCTCTTCCTTCTCCTCCCCTCGCTCCCCCCTTCCGTCATAACTTGTTCCCCGTCTCGCAGTCACCACCCACTCTCATGGTTCCCATGCGCCAGCTCCACGAGGCTATGGCATTCCCCACCCTTTCGTAATCAGGCCCGGTCGACTGTCTGCAGATGTGCTCACTTTGCTTGTTCGTTTCTCTCGTTCCCCCTTCCCGTCTTCCTCTCCCGGTGCCGCTCCTGCGTCGAAGTCAGAGAGGAGCTGTAAGAGCACAGAGCATCAACTCTCGGAGCTGCGCGCGGACCGTCGACAACTTCTGTTTGTGATGTGCGTAGTCATTATACTCTGGTCTCCCTTCCCCTGAACCGCTTCTGCTGCCACTCCCCCCTTCTTTCTCCCTCCCCATACGGTCTAACATTTCCTCTTCGTGCTCGTTGCCCTCCTCCCGACCCCCGCCAGCACTCCTCTGCCTGCTCCCGCGACTTTGAGACCGGCCTTCCCGTTGAGCTCACTGTGGCTCTCGAGCGCACCTTGTCCCAAGCCGCTGAATGACAGGCTGGAGGCATAGGAGGCGCTTTAATTGTGCGATGGTGTCCAAGAAGGCAAAGCTGAGGTACGGATGACGACAGGTAGGAGGTCAAGGAGGATGAGGAAGGCGACGAGGACGAGAACGAGGAGGATGGGCGGCAGGAGGAGCCGCAGAAGGAGCTCCACAAGCATCACCATCAGCATCGTCAGCACCAGCAGTAACAGCCTTCTTCTCCCCGTCGCAGCCACTTGGCTCAAGGGTGTGTGTGTGTGTGTGTGCAGAGAAGGTGCCCCCCCCACCGTGTAGATACACGTACGTTGAGAAGCTGGCCAGGGCGATGCCGAAGCAGATCACAGAGATCCGCCAGTTCCTGCAGATTGCGCGCCGCAAGGACGCCAGGTCGGTCAAGATCAAGAAAAACGGCACGGAGACCAAGTTCAAGATCCGGTGCGCCAGCTACCTGTGTTCGGGCGGACGGCGGCGAAAGGGGGGGGGCGGGGTCGGACGGGGCTAGGATTGAGTCAGGCGTGTTCCCCTACAGGAGGAATGTTCAAGAATAGTCAAAAAATAGCTTGAGACCATCTTTCTACGGATTACGTTTTATTTGTCTTCCAAAATCTGGCCGTAGGAGGGCATGCCCGACCTGATGCCAAGACGAGGACAAATCTGCTCCAGAGCGTTCCAGAACGCTCTCAGAGCGTCCTGGAACGCTCTGAGAAGGCCGCGGTGCCCGAGACATCCGCCAGAGCTGCTGGGTCTGAGAGATTCTCGATGTGTTCTCCCCCATGATGGGCCCGTTTTCGACCACCACCACCATAAGTTGGAGGGGGGAGGGAGGTGGAGGAGGAGGAGGAGGAGGAGGAGGAGGAGGAGGAGGAGCCCTTCCCCCTCCAACGTATGGCGGTGGTGGTGGTGGTGGTGGTGGTGGTGGTGGTGGTGGAAAACAGCCCCCTCACCTCCAATTTGTCCTCGTCCTGGCTTCGTCTTTGGGGGGGGGAGAAGCGGGGGGAGGGACGAGAGCGCAGCTCTCCAGCATCTTGCCGTGGCGGCGGCGGCGGCCCCGGGGTCCTCCCGAGCCCCCGCGGTGGTGCCACGCCTCCTGCATCGCTCGGGCGCCCCTCCCGTGGGTCTTGCTCCCCCCCCCCCCCCCCTCTTTTTGGGGGGCTGGACCTGGCCCCTGCTCCCCGACTGGCAGTGGGAGCCCATGCCAAGAATCCGAGGAGGAAGAGGCACCCCTCATTTTCCTTTTTTTTTTCCCCTCATTTTCCCCTTTTCCCCTCATTTTCCCCTCCCCTCCCCTCATTTTTTTTCATTTTCCCCAGGAGACCTCTACCCTCCCCTCATTTTCCCCTTTTCGGGCCTCCGCAGAGGCCCTCGTCGCCACCGTTGGATTCGCCTCGAAATCCTGGTCAGAACGCACCCCGGGAGAGGTCCGGGGAGTAGCGGCATCGGTACCTCTTGGTCTCTCCACAGAGACACCCTGCTTGCCTCCAGGGTGCCCTGGGGTTTCTCGGGCTTCGACGGCTTTGCGGTGGGAAGCGTGGCGCTCCCACGCCAAGAGATCCACGGAACGAAGGATGGCAAAAAAACCCAGGGTTGCAAAAAAAAACCCTGGGCGAAGGATTGCAAAACAACCTTGGGTTTTTTTGGTTGTTGCAATCCTTCGCCCTGGGGTCTCTGTGAATAGAACCCGTGTAATACTCTCATATATACTCCTTATCCTCACCTCTCCTGCGCCTGGCCGTTTGGGCTCAGGTATTGGGACAGATCGATCAGACCTTTGATCGTGCAGGAGGGAAAGATATCCATCTCTCCCTCCTTCCCTCTACCAACGGATCAGGGGTTCTGTACCCTTGTACTTCAACCCCATACACAGTCTCAGGGTGGGGTTCCTCGTGGCAGGTCTCTCGTGGTCGAGCTCCTGCGGCAGGGCCCGGCCCGGCCCCTGCTCCCCGACGGCTTTACTTCGGGCGGGGGCAGGGGTCGCCTCTCGGCGGCCCTCCTGCGAGCCCTCCTCCAGATTTCGTAATACAAGGGAGGGGGTCTCAGCCCTCCCAGACGACGAGAAGTTTTAGACCCCCCCCCCCCTGGGAGAACCCTCCAAAATCTCATTTCGGGCGGGGTCGCCTCTCGGCGGCCCTCCTGCGAACCCTGCTCCAGATTTCGTATACAAGGGAGGGGGGTCTCATTTCGGGGGGGGTCTCTTCCAGGCTACCTTGGAGGGCCTGGGGGGGTCTGTGGACGATGTTTTGGAGGGTTCTCCCACGGGGGGGGGTCTGAAATGGCTTGTCTTGGAGGGTCCAGACCCCCTCCCTTTTATTACGAAATCTGGAGTACCCCACCCCCCCACCCCGTAGAATCCGTGGGGGGTGGGGTAGGGTTCGCACGGGGCCGCCTACGCCTCTCGCTTCCCTGCAGGGGGTGGGCCGCTCTGCACACAACAAGTTCGTGCCACTCCCCCCTGATGGGCGCCCCGCCCCCCCCCCCCCCCCCAAAAGAGCGGACCTCGGCCCGTCAGCGGTGCTGAACTGCGCGAGGCGCTCGAGATCGGGCGCTGCGCGCTGGTCAGGTCATCACCGCTCGGGTTACGTCGGGTATGTCCCTCAACAGGAGGAGTATTCAAAAATAGCCAAATAATAGTCTGGAGACTATTTTCTCGTCATGTTTGTCCATGTTTGAGTCTTTGATTGGCCATGCTTTTTTGTCTACCAGAATCCGCCTGCAGGAGGACATGCCCGACCTAACGCTACAGGGGGTCGGAGCAGGCCTTGGGGGGGGGCCGCCAGGGGCGGTTCCCTTCAGCCCAGCCGGTGGTGGCTGCCTCGTCGTCGCGCCTGGTGCCCCGTCAGCGCCCGCCCGATCCGTACACCCTGATCATGGCGGACAAGGCCAAGGCGGAGAAGCTGAAGCAGTCGCTCCCGCCGTCCCTCCAGAAGAAGGACATCTGATCACCTTGGGCGGCCTCGGCGGCCTTCCCGCGGGCCCCGGGAGCGGGCGGGCGCCGGGGAGGACGGTGGCGCGCAGATTCGCCTTGCGTTCCTCCTCCTCCTCCTCCTCCTCCTCCTTCTCCTCCTCCTCCTCGGTCAGTCGGTCGTTCGGTCGGTCGGTCCTCCTCCACCGAATCCTCCTCATCCTTTTCCTTCTCCTCCGCCACTTCCTCCTCCTCCTCCTCCTCCTCCGTCTCCGTCCCCTCCTCCTCCTCCTCCTCCTCCTCCTCCTCCTCCTCCTCCTCCTCCTCCTTACCCTCCAGCATGCGAGGCTTGCATCTGTCTAGACATCTGATGGCTTGCATAAGTGAACTGAACTCCTCATCCTCCCTCTTCCTTGGTTGCAAGCCCTGGGAGGCTGAAGTCAGCATTGGCCCTGGTGTGTCCTTGGCCGGTGATCTGGTCTGATCCGGCCCACTCCCGCTGAGTCCTTCCTGTTCTGGCAGAACCCTTGACTCAACCTATCCGTAGTTACCTTTCGACTCTCTCTCTCTCTGTGTGTCTCCCTCACTCGCTCCCGCGAGCAAGGATCCCTGGACTTGCCTCGCAACACGTGCTCCTCCTCCTCCCCGCGCCAGGTCTTCGTAGGAGCAGGAGGAGGAAAGGGAAGGGGAGGAGGAGGAGGAGAAGGAAAGGGAGGAGGAGGAAAGGGAGATGGAGGAGGAGGAGGAGGAGGAGGAAAGGGATGATGATGCTGATGGTGATGATGATGATGATGATGATGATGATGATGATGATGATGATGATGATGATGATGATGATTATGATGATGATGATGATGATGATGATGATGATGATGAGGAGGAGGAGGAGGAGGAGGAGGAGGAGGAGGAGGAGGCCACATCCACCAATTTGGAACATGCGCCCCCGAGGCTCTCGCAGAGCGCTGGATATCTGGGGTCTGGACACCTCGGCCCGCAAGGCATCGGTCTCCAGCGCCCCCCGCGCGCTCTGCGGCCCCACAGAAAAAGCGAGCTCCGTCGAGGGCCTCGGTGGCGCGTGGCCACCTGCGGCGCCGCCACCCGTTTCGGCACGCCCCTCGCGCGTGTCGTGGCCCCCACTAGCAGGGGGGCTCCACTGAAGGCCCCAGCGGCTGTGGTCACACGCGCCCCCGACGCCCATCTCGTCGCGCCCCCTCGCGCGCTTCGGGGCGCCCACCTAGGGGGCTCCACCGATGGCCCCAGTGGCTGTGATCACATGTGTCGCTGCCTCAGTTTCGCGTGCCCCTCGCGCGATTCGCGACCCCATAGTGAAGCTCCACCGAAAGCGGCAGTGTCTGTTATCACATGGTCCTCGAGAGCACGCTGGTGGATGTGGATCGATCCCTGACGCGGATTCCGTCTCTTCTGCCTCCTTTCTCTTGCCACGACGTCTGGCGTTCTGGGAAAGACCTTGGTGTCAGTGCGCCGGCCCAGCCCCGAACAAGTGTCGATCTCGCGCAGCAGCCCCAATGGGTGTGCACAGGCCATGGTGATCCAAACTCCAATGGCAGAGCGATCCAAGCAGCCAGGGCCACAGCGGCCCACGCAACAACGGGTCCTAAATCAATAGGGGGGGCGATTGTTTCCGTCGTGTCTTTCTCTTGTTGCGCTGCGAGAGGAGGTCTGTCGGGGGCGGCCAAGAGGGGGGTGATGACTAGGGGGCGGTGGATATCATGGTGCGGGCAATGATCTCTGCTCAGATTCCCTGGCGCCTCTTATTACTCCATCGCGTCCCTGGCCTCCCCCGGGGCCGCGCACATGCCGCAGGCCATGCTTTGCGCCCCCCCCCGTTGGGCGCCCCCCTCTCGGCCGACCACGAGTCTGGTGCCCCACGAGGGCCCAGGGGCCCTCGGCGGGAGAAAGGCCGGTCGCGACTTCGCCACGACGCCCGGGGGGTGCGAGCCAGGGGCGCGCATGGGGCGGCGCGGGGGGAGGGGTCCTGGCCTGCGAGGCAGGAAGGAGAGGGTCGTCTTAAAGCGTGGGCTCCTCGGCGTCACCCCAACAGGGCTCGTGTCGACCTCTCCGATGCGATTCGACTCGATATTTCGATGGTTTCCGAGATTCCGATTCGATTCGTTCTTCGAGTTCCGATGTGGGCTCCGGTGTCTCAACGGAGGCCCGCTAGCCTGCCGATTTCCGCCGATCCGACTTTTCCCGGCCCGGCTGCCGATTTCCGCCGATCTGTTTCATTTCGATCGCCGATCCGATTGATCGATTCGATTTTGGGCTCTCCTGCCCCAACATACTAGTACCATGCGTGCGTCGCCCCCCCCCCCCCCCGCGTCGCCCCCCCTCCCCCTCAGGGGCGACGCGCGCACCGAGAACTCATCGTTTTCGCTCCGTGGCGGACGCTTTCTGGCCGTGCCGTTTTTGGGAATCCGCATATTTTACTAGGTGTTTAGACTGGATGTTCGGGTCGGACTCACGCATCCAAAGAGGACATATCGTGCAAATATGTCTTTATGCGTCCCAGTTAAAGGCGCGAGGGTTAGCGAGGAAGTCCGCTTCCATGCGGAAGCGGCGAGTTTCGTCGCCAAATTCGGCGCGCTAGGTAGGTTGGTGTATTCTTGGCGGCGCCCTCGAGGGGGTGGCGCGGGGGGAGAGGGGGGGGGGCGCGGCCTGGGGCTCCTCAGAAGGCAGGGGCTTTCTTAGAAGGCCCTGCTGGCTTCCAGGAACGGGGGAAGCCCGGCGGTCGTCTCGGAGCCCCCCTTGCATTCTTAGAAGCCCCGCCGCCTTCTTTGAAGCCCACCCTGCATCGCCCAACCCCCTCGTCGCCCCACCTCAATGTGGGCTGCATTGCCTTCCAAGCCTCCCACATGAGGCCGGAGCAGATGGGGTCGGAGGATCGCGCCGCAACGCCGATGCATCGGCGATGCGGCTCGATGTTGAGTCCAATCTTCTCTACGCTTACGTCGCCGATGTCGACTCGGACCCCACTTGAGAGGCCTCCGTGGCCTTCTTGCAGTGTGTGTCTCGCCCCGCCCGTTCTCTCCGCGGCCTCTGCCCTGCTTTTTGTTGCGTGTCCTCCCGCGGCGTCTGCGGCCTTGCCGACGTCTCGTGTGACGTTTCTGGCTTGCCCAGCGATCTTGATTTTTACGTCATAGAGCCCCAGACATGGTCGCGTCGTTAAAAAATTCAGGACGGGAGGTTTTTGGCTCTTTTCTGCCCCGGGGGGCCCTCGCCAGGCCTCGGGGCCGTCAAAAAACGACTCAGGACGAAAAACCGGTCCCGGGGAAAGGGTCGGGACTTCCATGGACGCCGTCCTGAAGACATCAGGACGTCGCATGTCTGGGGAGCCAGAGGGGAGACAGTGACCCTGGTGGGGAGAAAGATGAGGGGAAAGATGTGACAGTTGACCCTCGGCCGGAGGCGCAGCAGGGCGGTGCGAACGGATCGTTCGGCGGCTTCCAGATGTCTGCTGGGGCCAAGGCGCGCCGGCACGCCCTCGTCCTCTTCCTCGTCGTTGAGCTCCTCCGACGATGACGATGATGATGATGATGCTGATGATGATGACGATGATGACGATGATGACGATACTGATCATGACGACGATGATGTTGCTGATGATGATGATGATGATGATGATGATGATGATGATGATGATGATGATGATGATGAAAATGATGATGATGATGATGACGAGGACGACGATGCCGATGACGATGACGATAACGATCGTCACCGTCATCGTCGCCGTCATCATCATCACCATCATCATCATCGTCATCATCATCGTCATCATCACCATCATCATCATCAGCGTCATCATCATCAGCATCATCATCATCGTCATCATCACCATCACCATCATTATCATCATCAGCGTCATCATCATCATTATCAGCATCATCGTCATCGTCATCGTCGTCATCGTCATCGTCATCATCATCATCATCATCGTCATCATCATCGTCATCACCATCATCATCATCATCATCATCATCATCATCATCATCATCATCATCATCGTCATCGTCATCATCGTCATCACCATCATCATCATCATCGTCATCGTCGTCATCATCATCACCATCATCATCGTCATCGTCATCGTGGCCAGGCCTCGCGAAGCAACGCGACGGGGGGGCTCGGCAGTTCTCGGCAACTAGAGGCCTCCTACCGGCCCATGAGGCGGCCGTCAAGCACCGAGTCGGGCGGAAGTGCTCGTCCTGTGGGGGGGGTCCGGGCCTCTGCGGGGCTCGTTTCGGTTCCTCCGATTCGCTTCGATTCGATGTCGATGGCTTCCGATATTCCGATTCGGCTTCGGCTTCGGGTTCCGATTTGGGCTCCGATCTCCTGTTGAAGGCATACTGGCCTGCCGATGTCCGCCGACTCGCCCTTGCCCGACTCGGCTTCCGATTCCCGCCGATCCGATTCATGTCGATCGCCGATCTCACTTATCGATGCGATTCTGGGCTTTCCTGCCTCTGGGGCCCGCGTTGTGAAAAATCACGACGTCGGTGATCTGGGTCATCCTCGTTTTCGTTCTCGTCGCCCAGTGCTTGGTCTGAGCTCGCCACTCCCCTTTAGCGTGCTTGGCCGGGCACGCTTATTCGGGGCTGCCACCCGCAGGCCTTGGGCCAAGGCCTTCGTAAGTTCGGGCCACGGCCCGATCGATCTGCCCGAAAGGCGCATGGCCCTTCTCCCTGGCGCTCCCCTACCACCTCAGTTCCCTCCTCCCGGGAGGAGGAGGAGGACAGGAAGAGGACAAAATGATGATGGGAGTAGGACGGGAGGAGCAACATCAATCAAACGCAAGCAAGCAAGCGGAAGCAGCAGGCGTAAGCGAGCAGTAACATGCAAGCACGAGCCAGCGATCAAGTGCAAGCAAGCAAGGGCAAGCAAGAGCAAGCAAGCAAGAGCAAGCAATCCAGCAAGAGCAAGCAAGCGAGAGCCAGCGATCAAGTGCAAGCAAGCAACAGCAAGCATAAGACTCGCCATTGGAAATAGCGGGGGGGGGTGCCATTGGAAATAAGGGGGGTGCCATTGGAAAAAGGGCGCGGGGATGGGTTGTCATTGGACATAAAAGGGGGGGGGCCATTGGAAAAAGGGGGGCTGCTGAAGACCAATTACTTTTGATGAGCTAGGACTCCTATAGGGCAAGCCTATTTAGAGAAAACCGCCCCCCTCTTACTTTGTATACTGTTATTGGATATTCCTCCTGTAGAGGGACATGCCTGACTTGAAACGGAAGGGCAGGGGGCAGCGCAAAGGGCCCAGACCCCCTCGCGTCATACCAGAAATCACGACGGGTGGATTTTCGCTGTGTTGTTGGCTTCCGGGCGGCCCTCACTGGGCCTCGCGATCGCCAGAAAACGACTCAGGATGAGAAGCCGGTCCCCAGGAAGAAGAGGGAGGAGGAGGAGGAAGAGGAGGAGGAGGAGGAGGAGGAGGGAGGAGGAGGAGGAGGAAGAGGATGAGGATGAGGAGGAGGATGAGGAGGATGAGGAGGTGGAGGAGGAGGAAGAGAGGAAGAGGAGGAAGAGGAGGAGGAGGCGGAGGAAGAGGAGTAGGGTGTCCAGACCTCTAGGGGCTGACGTCATGCGAAAGTCACGACGTTGGGGGTCCAGGAGGGCATGGGACAGCAAAAGGGGTGTGGGTGGGGTTGCGGCCGCGGGTTTCGGTTCTGCCGCCAGGCGCTCCGCCACCCCCCCCCGCCCGTGTGGCTGCTACTATCACCACCTTTCGGCGGCTTGCTCGGGGGTGGAGCTTATCGTTCGCCAGGCCCTCCTCATGAGACACCTCGCCCTCACAAGGGAGACTGGTCCGCGGCCTGACGGCCCCTGCCGTCCAACGCCCTGTCCGGGCACCCGAGCTTCTCCACGAGCACGCGGGTCGCCGCCTGCGGCGCGGCAGCCGCAGGCCAAATTCGGGAGCAGGATCGGCGGCGAGCGAGGGGGGGAAGTGAGAATAATGAGGCCCGCTCAGAAGGCTCGGAAGTCCCCCGCCCTTTGAGAAGTTTTGTCTCGGCCTTCCCCGAAGACACACAGAAAACTTCTCAGACGGCGCGAGGGCTTCCAGAAGTCCCCGCCGCCTTCTGAGAAGCCGTTTCTCCTTCTCACTTCCCCCCGCTCGCTCGCCGCCGGCCCTTCTCCTCCGACTTGACGGTGCTGGGGCCTGGCAAGGGCCCCGCCGCCTTCTGAGAAGGCCTTCTCCTTCTCATTCCCCCCCCCCTCGCTCGTCGCCGAAGGGTGGCTTATATCTCTGGAGGTCCCGTCCACGAGGTGGAAAGCAGCACGGCGCCGGAGATCTGGGGACTCACGTGGGCACCAGGGCAGGCACGCACAAGAAACAGCGCACGCAGGCGGCGCGAGGAGCGCTCGCACACAGGGGGGCGCGAGGAGCGTTCGCAGGCGGGGGCGGTATGCTCAGGAGGAGCCGCCTGCTCCTCCTCCTCCCTCCTCCTCCCTCCTCCCTCCTCCTTCCTCCTCCCTTCTCCTCCTCCTCCTCCTCCTCCTCCTCCTCCTCCGTAGCCATTTTGGCTCAAGATGCATTGTTCCACAGGGGAACACGTGGATACCGCTAGTCCGCGGCCAGTGCCAGGGCGCTTCCGCCCGACACCTTTTTTCTTTCCTGTGAGCTCCTGGAGGAGCAACGTTACCCACGCCCAGACGGCAGCAGGTTTCACGCGTGTGCGATGGGGCCGCCGTCCAAGAAGTGGGCTTGGTCTATCTGTAAGAGCTGCGACAATTGGGCTTACGACTGGAAGATCAAGCGCAATGGAGGCTACTGCGCCAAATGCGACTCGATCATCACACTTTGGGCAGACACTACACCTGCATCGCGCAAGCCGCCATGGGGAGACCAACTCACCAAGGGCACCTACGCGGAAGTGGTGTGCAGGCAGCTGGCCCATGCTGTCTCAAAGCTTGGGCCCGACCAGTGCATGCAGGAGCAACTGGCGCACCTGCAGTCTACCATCTCCCAGAAGTGTACCCCGCCCAAGAAGGAGTTACCCAAGTCAGCGGCACTCAAGCAGGCGATCGGCAAGGTCAACTCCGCCAAGGCCAAGCTTGAAGGCGTCACCAAGCGTCACCTCGACGCTGAGAAGGCGCTGGCCAAGCTGTCGGAGCAGATGGCGCAGGCTGCGACGGAGGTCTACGAGGCACAGCAGGAACATTCTAAGGCGTTGGAAGAATACAACATGCACTCGGTGGCGGAGGGTACGGCGACCAAGCCCGAGCAGGCGGGCTTTCAGGTGGACGAGAGCCTCTTCGAGGATGAGGAGGACCTGGAGCAGACGCAGAAGGACCAGCTTGCGAAGTTCAGGGAGGACGCGAAGGCCTTGCAGGAGCTGTTGGATCGCGCCAAGACGCAGCAGGAGGCCCTGCTCACCATGGTCGAGAGCGCGAAGAAGATCAAGGCCGATCATGCGGCAAAGAAGCGCAGGATCGACGAGGACGGGCAAGCTCATGCGCAAGTTCCACCACCTGCTCAAGACGCCACTCCTGAGGCACCGCCACAGCAACAACAAGCCACCGATCCAGAAGCAGAAAAGCGTAAGGCAGAGGCGATCGCCAAGCTCATCGAGGAGAACAAGGAGCGAGCCAGGACTGCATCTCAGAGGGCGACCACATCACGTTCGGTGGGTACGGCAGCTACGAGCGGCGCTACGGGCATTTCTTCTGGTCGGGCTGGCATTTAGCCCACCATGGCAGCCGCCTGCAGCGCTGGGCAGGCATCCAGCACCGCCGTCCCCCGAGTGGCCTGCCTTCCCTGGTTTCCCTGGGACCTCGCCCACCTGGCTCGGGGATCGAACCTCTTCGCCCGCGTCTGTTGCGGACGCAGCTTGTCAGAACTGGTGCCGCTCCAAGCGTGAGGGAGCTCGCAATCATTCTTGTGAGACAGGCAAGCCTGCGAAGGTCACCAGCATATTCTTCAGCAATATTACACAATGGGGCGAGAAATGCCAGAAGTTCCTCAACGAGAACCAGGAACTAGCTCAGATATTCGCCTTCACGGAGTCCCACGTGCCGCATTCAGGCATCACGAAGTTGAAGAAAGACCTGGGCAAAGATGGATAGAAAGCAGCAGTCACGGCAGCTACCCCGACGCGACGCTCGAAGGAGGGCAACAGCGGAGGAGAGCTGCTCATCGCCAAGGCGCACTTGACGACCACAACATTCGATGTGATGAGGGAGACCCTTAAGGCTCAAGGACGACAGGACTTATTCAGAGGGTTCACGGCCATGACTATCCACCTCAGCGGAGGCAATGTCGTTCTATTCTCCCTCTACCTACTCCCCAAGGAGGGCATGCAGGGTAGCAACTTTGAAAAGATCAAGGCGCTCTCGACGGTCATAGGGAGCATCACGGACCCTTGGATTATCATGGCAGATTGGAATATGGCCCCATCCCTGGTCGAGAAGTCGGGTCTCCCCACGCGCCTGGGAGGCAAGGTGATCGTTCCGAAGATTCAGATCACCTGTGACAAGGGCAAGGGCAGTCTCATAGATTTCGCCATGGCTCGAGAAGATATTGCAGATGGCATCACCATCGACGGTTATGAGAAAGTACCATGGAGGACACATACGGGGCTACTACTCAAACTTCCTGGGCGCTCGGAGGCTTGGTGGCACAGGCATTTGGATCTCCCCAAGCCGTTGCCGCTGGTGCTCCCACCAAAGAAGGCCCCCGACCCAGAGAGCAAGCGCAGCAAGAAGAAGGAGGCAGCACAACAGAGGAGACTGGCAGAACTCCCTGACGAATTGCGCGAGGAGTTCAACGTGCTCGAGCCTCCACTGACCAACACGCAGCAGACGGTGAAATACGCGATAGATGAGGGCCAGTGGGATCAGGCCAGCCGCATCGCCATCGGCCCAGCGTTGTCCAAGCAGATGCACGAGTTGGAGGCCAACCTCCTCATCCGAGGAGAGCATCAGAAGCTCATGGAGCAGGCGATCACAGGCGAGTATGCGATCTGGGTCACTACACTGGAGGAGGCGATCATTGGAGCTGACAAGATGGATGCAGCACAGGCTGATGCACACCGGGGCAGAGGAGGAGGTTTTGCAATCAGATGGCAAAGATCGAAGGCCACACCAGGTCGCACGCACATGAAGTATCAAGCAGCAGAGTTGTGGTCGATAATGGGAGTTTTGATTACCAGATACGCGGCACTACGGCTCAATGGCACAGACGACATGCAACAGATGAAGTGCGAGAAGGAGTTGGCTGCGACCTACCAGCAGCTCAGGAGGTTGGGTTTGGATCAGATCTTTGGGAAAAAATTTGATCAAGTTGAAGCTGATGAGCGCATGCTAGGCGTGCAGGAGATCAAGACACGCACGCTGGACGAGCTTGAGACGTTCAAGGATGAGATCGAAAAGCACAAGGCAATTGCGATATCCAGGGGCATCTCCATCCAGCGGCAGCAGTTCTCCAAGTGGGCAAAGAAGATGTGGGCAGAGAAGCCAGGCATCCTACATCAGCACGTCAAAGATCCAGTGCAGCCGACCTACGAGCAGTATCACCAGGAAGCTAGCTCGGCGGATCGAGAGATCCTCATGCACACGAAGAGGGAGAAATGGTTGAAGATCTGGACGGACGCAGTGGACACCAGAGAAGACATCGCGACTGAGCTGCAGGTCATGCACAGACAGGCCAGAGTTGAAGATTTGGATCCCATCACAACAGAAGAGTTCGACACGGCCATGCAGACCACGAGCCCCAACAAAGCAGGCGGCCTGGACGGCCTCAAGTTGCACGATATCAAGAGGGCTCCGCAGGGGGCACGCCAGAAGCTGGTCGACCTCATCAACATGTGCGAGCAGACGGGCACGTGGCCGAGGCAGTGGACGGCGACACTTGGGGCCGTGGTCCCGAAACCAGCAGGCGGAGAGAGGGTGTTGGGCATGCTACCCCTACCAGTCAAACTGTGAAGCAGGACGAGGGCGTCACCGTGCAGTGAATGGAGTGAGGCGCTTAGCGCGCATTGGGACACGGCCCTCAAAGGCAGCTCGGCGTTGAGGGCTGGTCTGCTCCGTGCCTGCCTCGGCGAGGCGGGGTACGAGCTGGGCATATCCAGCCTCGCCCTCCTTGAGGACATCGAGAAGTTCTACGACAGCGTCAGCCTGGTGATGCTGATGCGCATTGCGAGGGGCATCGGCTACCCAGCAGTCGTGGTGGAAATGGAAGTACTCATCTTCGCGGCGGCACGGTATCTCAAAGACAAGTCGGCGCTGAGTGAGGCTATATGGGTATCCAGATCGATTGTTGCGGGGTCGCCCAGAGGAGTCAGCCTCGCGAAGGTGTTTCTCCACCCAGTCCTACAGCGAGCGCACATCATATCGCCCACAGCGGGGCTCTGGACCTTCGTCGACGACACTGTGGCCCGAGAGGAAGGCACTTCACAGGACACCCCAGATAAGATGGTAAGAGTGGCGTGCGAGCTCGCCCAAGGACTCCATCAACAGAGGCTCAAGATCTCAGACAAGACAGTCATCGTTGGATCCTGCAGGCGCATGGTCAAGAGCGTGGCTAGGAGGTTGCAGCAGAACGGCACCCCAGCCAAGGCCAAGACCTTCACGAAGGACCTGGGCCTCGACGCCGCTGCTGGGCGCAAACGAGTTGTAAGGACCCTAAAGAGACGTATCCTGGCAGCCAAGAGACGGTTCGGCAAGATCAAGAGGCTGAGGAAAAGTACCACCTTGGCGAAAGAAGCGAAAGGACTATGGTCAACGGGCGCCATTCCCCAGGCCACATACGGACATCAAGCGTTCGGCCTTTCCATGACGGAGCTGATGAAACTTAGATGACAAGCTGGGCAGATCGCAGCAGGATCACAAGGTGGCAAATGTCTGACTACAACACGGGCAATCGAGATGTGGGACAAGGAGCCAGGTCTGGAATTGCGCAAACGAGTTGTTCACGAGTGGCTGGCTATGTGGCAGGTCAATCCCCAGATCCATGCGAGAGTCAAGTTAGCATGGCCAAAGATCAGGCAACGACTGGTCACGGCTGGACGGAGGAGATGGGCCTATGTCAGAGGCCCGATCGCCACATTGCAGGCCACGCTGATGGATATTGGCTGGAACCCCATCAAGGCGTCGGAGTGGGACAGGCCATTACCTGAAGGACAGTTGCAGGCCTGGCTTATCCCCAGCGCCACGGACACGGAGTACACGAACGATTGGGAGAGGATCGCTATCCTGGGAGATGTGGTCAGTGATATGCGCAGCTTGTACTGGCAGCAGGCGTCGAAACACGAGGATGGAGCGGACCTTCACCAAGGAGCTGATGCATGGAGAATCAGAGCAGAACAACGCAAGTTTCACAACGAAGGAGCTTCTGACTTAGCGGCGCTCAACTTGACAGTTACTACAGGTGGGCAGTGGACCCGAACGAGGCGTGCCAGACAAGGATATCTGATTGAGTCCAAGCTTTGCCCGCGCTGCCTGCTCAAAGATGAGAGTTTGTATCACCGCATTTGGGAATGCGAGCAGAACAAGGGCCACGAGGACTTCGAGAAGTCGGAGACGCTTGTGGTGCAGGCGGCGGCGCAGCACGAAGCGTCGCCTGCCCTGTGGCTTCGGGGTGTGCCAGCCGTTGGGCTCACCACTCCTGACTTTGATGAGGCGCTCATCGGCCAGCTTCAGGTGGATTTTTATTCACGTGGCTTCGCCGAATGCAAGGAGGCAGGCAGAGTTCACATTTTCGGAGACGGCTCGGGGGGCAAATATTCTGACGACCCCAGAAGAAGGCGCTGCGGAGCAGCGATCGTGGGGCTCGTGAAGGATTCGGGAGGCGGGTGGACCTTGGGGGAGGCTCTCGGGGTTCCTCTGCTCGGAGATAAGCAAACGGTCCCCCGAGCCGAAGTTTTAGTCTTCTGCCTGGCTCTCGAGCAAGTAGATTCAGATTGCGGTTTCACTTTTGTGACGGATCATAAGACAATCTCCAGGACCTGGAGGGCCCGCTTTCGGTGGCCCAGCCCTGTGGGCACCAACGAAGACCTCTGGACCAGGGCCCGCAAAGCCTTCCAGGCCAGGAGAAATTCAGATGTTGAAGTTGTATGGTTCCCCTCCCACCAAGAGGAGGCCCCAGAGAAATTAGACACGTGCGAGAAACTCTTTTATGCCTCTGGCAACGCCTGCGCTGATTCGTGGGCGGGGGAGGCGGCGGAGTTGGCGTGGAGGGGCGCGGTGGGGAGGGAGCCTGAGACGGACAAAATAGATGCCACAGCTTCGCTGATTCGTCGAAGGGCCAGGAGAGCCCCAGTGCACGCAGCGGAGGCCGAGGAAAACAGTCGGGCGGAGAGACCCCCTTCTAAGAAGGTGGACAGACCGTCCAAGCTGGTGGCCGCGGCACAGGCCTCGGACCACATCCTCGAGCCATGTGGGCGCAGCATGAAATACTGGTGGTGCACGGTCTGTGAGAGAGTGGTGCCCCGCTACCATACGCGGGGCTTTGCGGCCACGATTGCGAAGGCCTGACGGCCGGTGCCGCCGACCCTGTTCGCAATGCGCAGCAAGAGATTACGAGGTTGCTCAAGGTCGGCTTGGCTGGAGCCCAGGGGAAGAGGAGTCCCAGGGGGGGGCGTCGTATCTGACCCGGGGGGGGGGTCGCTACCCCCACCCCCCTCCCGGCGGGGGAGGGATCAAAGGAGAAGGGGCATTCATTCGACTCAACTTACGAGGGTTGCTCCAAGGTCGGCTTGGGCTGGAGCCCAGGGGAAGAGGAGCCCCAAGGGGGGGGCGTCGGGGGTATCTGACCCGGGGGGGGGGTCCGACAAACCCCCCTCGCCCCCCTCCCGGCGTGGGAGGGATCAAAGGGAAGGGGCTTCCCTTCGACTCAATTACGAGGTTGCTCAAGGTCGGCTTGGCTGGAGCCCAGGGGAAGAGGAGTCCCAGGGGGGGGCGTCGTATCTGACCCGGGGGGGGGGTCGCTACCCCCCCCCCCCTCCCGGCGGGGGAGGGATCAAAAGGGAAGGGGCTTCCCTTCGACTCAATTACGAGGTTGCTCAAGGTCGGCTTGGCTGGAGCCCAGGGGAAGAGGAGTCCCAGGGGGGTGCGTCGTATCTGACCCGGGGGAGGGTCGCTACCCCCCCCCCCTCCCGGCGGGGGAGGAATCAAAGGGAAAGGGCTTCCCTTCGACTCAATTACGAGGTTGCATCAAGGTCCGGCTTTGCCTGGAGCCCAGGGGAAACCGGAGTCCCCAGGGGGGATGCATCGTATCTGACATCGGGGGGGGGGGCTCGACACCCACCCCCCCCCCTCCCGGCGGGGGAGGGATGAAAGGGAAGGGGCTTCCCTTCGACTCAATTACGAGGTTGCTGAAGGTCGGCCTGGCTGGAGCCCAGGGGAAGAGGAGTCCCGGGGGGGGCGTCGCATCTGACCCGGGGGGGGGGGGTCGCTACCCCCCCCCCTCCCGGCGGGGGAGGGATCAAAGGGAAGGGGCTTCCCTTCGACTCAATTACGAGGTTGCTCAAGGTCGGCTTGGCTGGAGCCCAGGGGTTGCTCAAGGTCGG